ATGATGATGGCAACAAATGTACAAATGTGCTTGACACAGTGGATGTATGTATGGATTGTGATAAGAATTGTACAAACCCCCAATAAAATGGTTTAAAAAAAAAGAAAGATATTAGAAACCCTGATCATTCCGGAGCATTAATTAAAGAAAAACTTACCGCAGATCCTAATAGTGAAATTGCCACCACTAGCCTTCGGGTGTCCCTGATGTGCCCTTTAGGGAAAATGAGGGTGACAATCCCGTTCTGTGCAGTGACTTGTACACATCTTCAGTGTTTTGATGCTGCTCTTTATCTGCGACTGAAAGTGAAGAAGCCTACCTGGATTTGTCCTGTGTGTGACCAAAGGCTGCCTATGAAAGGCTCATATTGGGTGGGCTTTGTATGGAAATTCTCAACGACTGTTCAGATATAGACGAAATCAAATTTCAAAAAGATGGTTCCTGGTGTCCCACGAGACCGAAGAAAGAAGCTATGGAAGTGTCCAGCCAACCATGTGCAAAACTAGAAGCCTCGAGCGTTCTCAGTAAGCCCTGTTCAGGGGCGGTAGCCAATGACACAAGCAGAAGAATGTGGGTGTTATTGGCCTAACCATAGAAAGCTCTTCTGATGAAGACGAAGACCCTCCTGCCAAAAGGAAATGCGTCTTTATGTCAGACACACCAAGAGTCCGACCAGAGGGGTCCTCATCTATCAGCCGTCTTCTGTGAGGGTGCCCAGTGTGGCTTTGATCCGGCTGCTGTTCCGCCTTCGTGAACAGACTACTCAGTACGATTCCACTACACGCCAATAGCAAACATGTCATCAGATTCGCCCGGAGAACAAAGGAGAAGTGATATTAATAATGAACTGCAGCTTGGAGCATCTTCTGATACTGTGCAACAGTGAATACAAAGTAAAGCAAAGTATTTGCATTTAAGGAATGGAAAGCAGCTTGATTATGTCAAGAGAGAAAAAAAAAGACTGCCTTATTATTGCGAGTGCCATACTGTCAGGTGTGAATGGTGCTCAAAAGTCATATCGTGACAAGTTGAAAGTGCTAAACGTTTACATACTTAATCTTGTGGTAATCATGTTCTCTTAGAGTGTATGGCTCAAGAAGAAGAAAATATGTTGTCATCAATGAGGAGAAACCTCAATATTTTCACATCACATGTTTAAAAAATATGTTTTCTCAATGGTATAAATACAGAATGTACAACCACTGTTTTAAACATTAAAAATAAATAAAGAAAAAATTTTCAAAAATTAAAAAAAGAAAAAGAAATAAATGTTTTCATTACCTTAGCAGTTTGTGGGAAGCCTGATCAGGTATTTTGTAGAATGGCCTTCAGTCGGCCCAATGTTTTCCTCATGGCTACATTGGGGTTATGAGTTTGGGAGAAGAATTCCATAGTGATGAAGACCTGTTCTCATCCATCACATGCTAAGAGCAGTATAGGCTATCAACATGATCTATCAGTGAGGTTGCCTACTTTTTAAAAAATTTAAGTTTTATTGAAATATAATTCATATATCACACAAATCAAGGTCTTAAACATAATAAAAAGAGTTGTACAATCATCATCAAAATTTTAGAACATTTTCTTCATTCTTTCACTTAGTATTAGCTCTCCATTTCCCAACATCTCCTACCATATGTAAGAAACTATTAATCCAGTTACTCTCTCTATAGATTTACCTATCCTAGATTTCATAGAAAGAAAATCATACCCAACCCCCACACAATAACCATAAAACAGAAAAACCTTCATGGAAAATAAAAGCCAAAAATAATAAGAACTAGAACATGCTAGGGGGTACTTCTAAAAAAAAGGAAATTTTTTCAAAGCTATGTATTAAATTTTTTTTTACAAAACAACTTTATCCCCTTCAAGGTACTCTCCGTTACACTTAATGCATTGTCAAATCTACAATTCCATTCCTGGAAACATTTTTCAAACTCATCTGCTTGGATGGCTGACAGCACCTCCTGGTTTTTTTCTTCACCTTTTCTGAGTCATCAAATCACTGTCCTTTCATGTCTCTCTGCATTCGTGGAAACAAAAAGAAGTCACATGGAATGATATCAGGTAAGTCAGGTGCATGGGGCAAGAGAGGTATGCTGTTTTTTGCCCAAAATTGGAGCACTGAGATGGCCTCTTGAGCAGGTGCATTGTTATAGTGTGAAAACCAGTGACCCATCTGCCACAAACCAGGCCTTTTTTATTGCACACTGTTATGCAATATTTTCAATACCTCTAAATAGAAGGTTTGATTACAGTCTGACCTGGTGGAAGGAACGACAAATGCACTATAGAAGAGTTGACATTTTTGTCCAGGAAACTGGCGGACATCCAGAACGAAGTTTGTCATCAATTGACATTATACCTTTTTTGAAATGAGAAAACCACTTGTACACTTGAGTTTTTCCCAAAGGGCTTTCCTTTAAGCTTCAACATCACAACAGTTTCTGTGGCATTTTCCCCCAAGCATAAAACAAAATTTCACAGCTTCACACTGTTCTCTTAAATCAGCCATCACAAAAAAACAAAGTTCAAGCAAAACTGCTTCGATGAAAAAAATTCCCTGTGACCAGAGAGAACCTTCCCAGGTAACACCACTGGGTGCTGCCTCGTGGGGGAAATGTGTACTATCGAAGCTCTGCCCCTCCCAGCACAATTCTGTTTTTTTGGGGGGTACCCCTTTTATATTCAAAAGGGAGAACAAATGATAAGGTGTTAATTTTTAACCTAACTACATCTTCATCAGTCCAGTTTTCAGTGCACTCTGATAGGAAAGCTATTCAAATATTAGTGGTCACAGGGCATTCCCTGGAGGCTTAATTCATGTGGGGACCCTACAAATGCCACTGTCATCCATAGCCTTATGGAAACCAGGTCCTCAGAATTGAAGCTCTAATACAATTCCCTCCTCTAGTCTTGAATTTTCTTATTTCTAATTCCTGGATCACAAAGGCTGGGTGCTTCCTCTATGAGGATTTAGCTGACACCCCACTTAGATGGCTGCTTGTTTTGAAACAAACCTTTAAGACCCCAAGTGCTATTCTTCCTGATAGTTGGGCACCATCTACTTTATTCACTACACTTTGTTATATTTCAGTGATCTCTTCATGAAAGCAAGTATTGAGTAGGGCTATGTCATAATAGGACTTATAAAATCCATTTAGTACAAGCTCAAAATCCATTATCTATCTAAAAACCATATATTAATTGTTTATTTATGCCCCTAGTCCACTTTAGAGACATCATTATCCTTTTATTGAGAGATATTTTAAATCATCCCCATGGGGCTTATGGTAATTCTATTGATTGTGGTTGTTTAATTAATTTAGCCATTGGCATAGAATTTGAAATACTGTTGAGAAAAGAAACATATACATGTATAGGAAAGCTTTTTAGACAAAAACACATAGATTACTGACTTGTACAGATTAAAACCTTAAGTGCCTGGACACCATTTACACAAACAATATTGTCAGTCTTGATCAATGACCAATGTAGTATTTGTTGGTTACTATTGTGCAAAATTGCCTTTCCCTATTCTACTCTTTGAAAGTAAGTTCTGAAGCACAGCTCATCCTTAAAGAAGAGGGAATTAAAAGGGAGGTGGGGAGAGAAGAAGGAATTAATTTCCATTTCCTGGATGGGGAAGATCTACATACACTAATTGGAATCATTCATTAAGAAAGATTTCTGTGTGCTCTCTCATTTATTTATTCAATCATCTATTTTTTACCAGTGTGGAATAATGGTTATGTGTGTTCTACTTTGAAGTCTCTGGGCTCTGCTGTGTCCACTGTGCCTGTGAACCTCAGGGTGCACACAGCTTGGGTTAAGCTGAGCCCAGGTGTTACTAAGCCACTACTTCCTGAACCCTTTTGCAAGCTGTAGAGATGATAATTTGTGGTAATGCTGTAAAACCCCCACCCTCACCCTCAATCATGAAAAGTGTTGAACCAGTCCTATGGAAAATTCCTATATGCAGTTCTACAGAGAAATCTTGTATTACAATTACAATTGCTAAACCATGGTGATGTAAACTAATGAAGGTTATGTTATTACCAATACATATTTGAGAGTCTAAGTTATTCCTATTGAAGAGACTTTTTATTTAGTAACTCTTCTACCACATAGGTGCCTTGGTGGGTGAGTGGGTTAAAACATTGGGCTAACACCACAAGGTGGGTGGTTCAAACCTACCAATTGTTCTTTGGAAGAAACATGAGCTTGTTTTCTCCTGTGAATACTGATAGTCCTGGAAACTCCACAGAGTAGTTCTTCTCTCTCCTGTAGGGTCACTTTTCGACTCAGAATTCACTCCATGGCAGTGGGTTTTGTTTTTCTACCATCTATGTATGGCAAGTCCTTAGTACAATTAAAATCTGAAAAAGCTGGAATCCAGTATAAGGTCGAAACATGTCAGAGAAGAAAATGCAAATATATTCCAGTGATAGAGAGCAGTGTTGTTAAGACTGCAAACTGTCAGAGGTAGGAAACGCCCGCAAAGACCAGGAAAAACAAGGCATTTCCATCGAGCTTAAGTTCCCATAGATTTCACTCTATTTTTTCCCCCTAAATACATTCTGGTTTTCCCTAATGACTCAGAATGCTAATTTCTTCCTCTTCCTGGATCCCTCGGCTTTCCTTTGACTTGTTTTTCTTTTGGGCACAGAGCCCTGTCATCTCTCCCAGAGGAGCCAGAAAAGCAATTTTTAAATTTATCTATTAAAAATGAGCTCTTCAGAATTAACCATATTTGCTTAACATAAAATAACAAGATGTCGCTGAAGGTGACATACTGCAATGGAGAATCATGCGCCATAAAATTACCTCAATCCCTATTTTCAGAAAGAAAAGGTGAGGCCCTGCGCAAGGGAAATGACTTGCTGGTGGAGGCCACTCCAGGCCAGGCTGACAGGGCCCTCTGGCTCCCTCCAGTCAGTGCCTCTTTTCCTCCTGTCCCTTCCATCCAGTACCACAGGCACTCTACCTCCACGGCCTGGTGACTGGGGGGTGGGGGTGGGGGAATGCTTACGAAGAGCCAACAGGAAAAATGGTGAATAGAATAAAATCTTAGACAGGGATGGGATGCTACTGTACAGAAGTAAATGTTGGAGTATTTAAACACTACAATGTTCAGATACAAATGGCTAGTTATTTTTGGATAATAATTCCTCATTCTCAATGAAACCTTGGATTCGTTTCATTAAGCAGAATAAAACAAAATGGCTAGAGATGGAGAAAAAGCCTAATAGTCCTGGAGGCTGAAACTAGCCCCAAGTTGACCTAAAGAAAGTCCCTGAAAAGAATGTAACAGAAAAATGTCAAGTTCACTTCGAAGTCTGCAAAAACAACAATGCCACACAGAAGGAGGAAGAGTGTCATATCCTTTCAGTCACAACCTCCCCTGGTGAACCATGCACAGACTCTGTAAGAACAAAAAGTTAGCCTGAGAATTGACTTGCTGCTTTTGTTACTTTCCCCAGGCCTGTAGGGTGTTTTGTTTTGTTTTGTTTTTTAAATGTACACTTCCAGATCTTCTAGAAGTGTTTCAGATATTCTTTCTTTCCTTATGCATTCAAGATTTAAATAAATAATAACTTTAATTAGTGTTTTGTTGGGGCTTGTGACTTACACACTTTGACTTTGAAGATCAAAAAAGAGTGTATACGTGCTTACATGTTATTTACTCTCTCCCACACACTGTGATGGTATCAGGCCATTTTCTAATTTAACTTATCAGCATCCGAATGATTGAGTCACGGCATCTATTTGTACACACACCAGTGTCTTAGGGGCGCAGTAAAGCAGGAGGAGGGTGCACTGGTCAGAAGCACTAATGTCTGGCTCTAAATTCCATGTGTGGACTTGCTAAGTCTCTAGTTTCTTGAAGCCTTGGTTCCTTTACAAAAAGGAATTGAGGTGCATATTATATGAAAGGTGCTCATCATCATGTCAAACCTAAAATGTGCGTCTACTACATTTGTGATCATCATCAGGACTCTGGAGCTAGGTATTCTTTGTTAAAATCCCAACTCAACTCTTTATAACTTATTAGTAGTGTCTCTGTTTTTTTATCCTTAAAATGAGAGTAATTATAGTGCTTATTTCAAAAAGGTTAAATGTGTACACCCTTTAGAGGAGGGTCTGGGAAACAGAGATGTGGATGAGCATGACACCCAAACCAGACCCACTGCCACGGAGTTGATTCCGACTCATAATGACCCTACTTTATCAGAGCACCCTGGCATGGCTGGTGGGCTTAAACTAGCAACCTTGCAGTTAGCAGCCTCTTGTTTAACCCACCATGCCACTGGGCCTCCTTCCAATAACCACCCACTGCCATGGAACCTGGTCGTGGCCCCAGAGGACAGAGAAGAGCTGCTCATTTCAGGTTTCTGAGACTTCAAATATTTACAGACGCAGAGGCTTCATTTTCTCTTCAAGGAGCAGCTGGTGGATTGAACCTCTGACCTTGCAGTTAGCAGCCAAGCATTGACTATTAGGATTTTATGCTATTCTAAAACTGCACTGTCTAACATGGTAGTTAGAGGTGACTATGAAGCACATGGAATGCAGTTAGTGTTCATTGAGATGTGATCTAAGTATAAAATAAACATGGAATTTTGAAAGCTTAATATAAAAAATCCAAACAAAATCAAATGTTTAAAAATATTTATTAATTATTAAGCTGGTAATGTTACAAATGTAGTGAGTTAAATGAAATAACAAAAATAATTTTATTTGCTCCTTTTTACCTTTTAAAGGTAACTATAAGAAAAGTTAAAAATACATAAATGGCTTGCATTCTATTCATATAGGACAGTATCCCTGAAAGGAGGCTTATCAGTTTAGTTAAAACTCCAGGACAGCTGTGACAAGGTTTCACTGCTGCCCTGAGACACTGGTGTGTGTACAGATAGACATGGGGATTCAATCATTCGGATGCTGATATGCTAAATTAGAAAATGGCCAGATAGCATCACTGTGGGTGGGTGAGAGTAAACAGCATGTAAGCATGTATACACTCTTTTGATCTTCAAAGTTGTGAGGTGGCTTTTTATCATAATTAAGAGTGATTTCTTTCTTTTTTAAGTAAAGGAATTATGAAGTACTAAGAGTTATCATTTGCATTGCCAAAGAAATTGATGCAATTGAAGGCTGCATTAAACTTCCAGAATCAATGTTCCTTTCTCCTTTGGCATGTGTTGCTCAATTTCAGGGTTATGTTTGAAGAGAGGCTTATGTAATCTGGAGCATTTCCCTGGTAAGACTCCTAGGAAGATGAGAGGCTCCCATGCGCATGCATGGGAGAAACTGGAGGCAATTAAGGATATGAACATCTTCAGCCAAGTGAGAAGACTTAAAGGGAGACCTGATAGCTGTTCTCAAATACCTGAAAGTCTGCCATGTGGGACAAGGGTTCATCCAAACAAGTCACCTCGGTCCAGGAGTGCAACTTTAATATAAAGAAAAAAAATTTAAGATAAACATTACATGAGACCACTGTAATAGGAAAAAATATATACAAAACTAAGGTAAAAGCTTTCTTTCTTTCTTTTTTTTTTTTCTTGCCCTTTTAACCCTAACCCTAAAGGATAAAACCTTTCATAACAAGGAGAACAGACTTTGGAGACTGCCAAGGGGAAGTCTTTGGGAAGGAAGTTAAAGCAACGACCAGGCTGGTGATGGGGATTAAGTTGGCTATAATGGAAGATAGGAGTTCAGAAGAGGGAGAAAGAGTAAACTATGGTAGGGGTGGGAGTATGTGTGTGGGGTGTTCATTAGTAGTTTAAAATGTTGAATACCAAGTCAATGATCTGAAATGTAAGCCTCCACCTAATTTACAATTTAAAAAGTGAAGAAGAAGAAGAAGACCAAGTTAGCAAGTAATGGTGTACAAAACTGGAATAGATTGCCTCATAGAACCTTAAGGACTTTGTCACTAGAGATGTAAGCGGAGAATTATAGAGAGAAGACTTATGCATCATGTAGCTGGAAGACCTCCCAAAGCCCATCTAATTCAATGACTCCATGTTTAATGCTCTGCTATTAATTTGGAAAGAGAGTCAGCAAGCTGTAAGCATTTGGTGGTGTTAGTGGGTTAAGAGGTGAGCTGTGAACCCCAGGCTAGCAGTTTGAAACCACTAGCTGCTCTGCCGGGAAAGAAGAGGCTTTTTACTCCTATAAAGAGTTACAGTCTCAGAAACCCAGCTCTGCCCTGAACTATAGGGTTCACCGTGAGGCAGAATTGACCGATGGCAGTGATTTTGTTTATGTGGAGGGCCATTTTTTAAATTACGGTTCTTCTACTTTTTTTTTAGCTTCTTTCACTGCCATGCCGGTTCCAACTCAGTGACCTTATAGGACAGAGTAGAACTGTCCCCGTGAGTTTCTAAACTTGTCACTCTTCATGGGAACAGGAAGTCTCAGCTTTTTCCAGCAGAGATGCTGAGATTTCGAACTGCTGACTTTGCAGTTAACATCTGACGTGTAACTCACTATGCCAGCAGGACTCCTTTTTTCCCCCCCTTTTATCTTAGAAGCTGTAGAAATTCAATGGCTCAAGCTAAAAAAAAAGGGGGTTGTTCTTATTATAGGGATCTATGTAGAAAATAAGGATGTCATGAAAATTCGAAGGAGACGAACCGTGTTCCAGCAGGCTTGACTTGAACTGGAACAGGAATGGAGGCGGGATTTGTGAGCTTCCTCTCAGATGGTTGATTTCTTCTTTCTTGGGATATCTCTGTTTTTCTCAGCATCCCCACTCCGTTCTACTGTCATTGACTGGTTTCCTGTAACTACTGACTCGTCATCACCTCTGCTCCCTGATCATTCTACTTGTCTCTCCGAGCTTGTCTGTCGGGCCTTGGGCCTGTTACGTGACCTCACAGCCTCAGGGTTATGAGAAAAAAAACGATTGACCCAGCTTTTCAAGTCAGGTCACTGGCTACAGAGCAGACATTCCTTGGGTTAGAGCCCTTATACTGATCTACATTAACGAGAGCTGGAAGTATAATTTATGTGGGAGGGAACATTTCCACCAGAAGGTGTGGGTGGGACAGGAAGTTTTGATATTTGTAGTGGCCCTACTGAAAGATGGAGCCCTGGAACTTATAGCTTAAAATTTGGTCATCCATTTAAGCTTATTCCTTGTACTGAGAAGAGTGAACCTGTTCAAAAGGTTCTGGTTTGGGACTAACATTAGAGGTTGCTCTGAGCAGGTGTTCTAGGATTTTGCTATACAAAGATGGTCTGCAGAATGGTAGCATAGGCATCCCTGGTTAGAAATGCAGACTCTCAGGCCTCAACCTAGAACTACGGGATGGAAACTACATTTTCATAAGATCCATGGGTAATTGCTCTTCATATTAAGAGTGGAGAACAGTAGTTCTTCAAGATGAACTGGTTTCATGTAGGGCTCTCAGGGAGTGCAAATGAAAAGTAGCTGACAGACAAATTGGCAGTTCAAGACCACTTGAGGGCACTGGGGAGAAAGGCCTAGTAATGTGCTTCTGGAAAACTGGTCATTGGAAATTCTAGGGAGCACAGTTCGATTCTGACATACTTGGGATGGCTGTGAGTCGGCTTCTAGTCAACAACAGCTGGTACTGGGACAAATTATCAAAGGCGTTTGCTAGGCATCTTCCAGTAGTGTGCTAAAATGTGTGAGAACCAGTGGTCAACTGCTAAATTTTCAGGAATATTGTGAGCTGATCAACTTCATATTTGGTAGCTTGAAATTGGCTAAGCTGGAAGTATCTACATCAGGGGGATTGACAAATGCTACAAACTAAGTTCTTTCTTCTCCTGGGAGCCCATTGTTAAGCACGGACAGTTCGAAATCTCCTAATTCAATCTTGAGCTAAACTGGTCTCCTAGGGATTGTGTGTGTGTGTGTGTGTGTGTGTGTGTGTGTTCCCTAGAGGTGGAGTGGTTACACACTGGACTGCTAACCCTAAGGTCAGCAGTTCGAAGCCACCAGAAAGATGAGGCTTTCTACCCCTGCAGACATTTACCACTTCAGAAACCCACAGGCGGCAGTTCTACCCTGTCCTAAAGGGTTGCAATGAGTCGGAATTGATGCAATAGCAGCGAGTGAGGGATTTTTTGGACAGAGAAGTTCCTGTGTCTGGAGGGACAAGATAAATGAGTTTCAACTTCTCACTAAACTTTAATCTTATGAATAGCAGATCATTATTATAGGGAGTAATTTCTTTATTAAAAAATAATGACATAAGCACAGGTGGGCAAGGAATCTAGGCATAGATGATGAAATCCAGACAGGTGTTGGAAGTTCTCCTAGCTGACAGCCAAACTATTTTGGGAACTGAAACTCAGGTGTGGAATAGCAGTTTCTGTAGAGACAGGGAGAAGGCAAGAGTGAGCAGGCTATGGCCCTAGCAGTAAGGTGCTTTTATAGACCATTTTATATTGAGTATAAAACTTTTAGCCAAAACAACCTCCTCTCCCAAGTTAACGGCAGATAAGGATACAAATATTTCACGGTATTATCTTGGGAGTGGTTTTCACAGTGTGATCTCTGGACTATCATATCAGCATTATCTGGGAACTATTTAGAAAGGAGCCCAACCCAGAGCTACAGTTCATAAATTCTAGGTGGCAGGGCCCAGCAGGATGAATTTTAACAAGTCCTGTGGCACTCTCCAGTAAACGTTGGATTGCTAAGCTCAAGGTTGGTGGTTCAAACCTAACAGTCCCTCCATGAGGCAATCTGTTTCCAGAAAGATTTCCAGCTTTGGACACCCTTTACAGGGTCATGATGAGCCAGAGTCGAGTCAACAGCAGTGGGTTTGACATTCCCACCCCCAACCCCCACTCAGTGATTCCCATTACCTAAATGAGAAAAGCCATGCAGTTCCTTATTGTTATCCAACAGAGGAGTCATTTTCAGATGGAATTCCAACTGGAAAATGGCTTCAGAAAGCAGAGAAAGCAGATCAAGAGAGCCACAGGGTTAGGCAAACACACAGACGCTTTCCCAGGCAAATGAGCCAAGCAGACAGCCGGCATTTTGCCAGGACTCCTGGCGTGTGGAAACCTTCCTAGAAATCAACTTGGAAAAGTTGTGTAAAAAGTGAACTTTGAGGAACTGCATCTAAAAAACTTTCTACAAGTGCTAATAAAAGTTCAACTAGGAAGAGAGTGACATCGAAGCACATGCTGGGACAAAAACCAGGATGGGCTATCTTAACAAATACGTAAATTTTGGAACGAGTCTATCTAAGATAGACTATTTCTTTTGTTCTTCTGGTTCAGAGCTCTCCTTGGTCCCTTAACAGGGACAACCCTTAATGTTTATTGATGGCTTAACTCAGTGCTAGATACTGCAGCAGTACGTCACAAGATGATCTCATTACTAGCCCTGCATCACAGATAATTGAAAACGGTGCCCCAGAGAGATGTAGTAACTTGTCCAAGTCACTCAGCTAATAAACTATGATAAATCTACTGCCATTGAGCTGACCTTGTAGACGGTATCCCAAAGGCTTCCAAAGATAGAAATCTTTATGGCAGCAGACTGCCACATTGTTCCCACAGTGTCTAGTGGGTTTGAACTGCTGACCTTCCAGTGCTTAACCACTGCACCATCAGATCTCCTTTTCCACTGTGATTCCAGGATTCAAGCCTACTGCTTAACTGCGACACGAGAACTTCATTATGCATTAACTCTTTAGGGGCTTAGAGTTCTTATTTCAGAGTATTTCATTATTTAATAATATTTAATATGCATTTAATTATTTGTAGCAAACATCTTTGCATTTCTTACAAGGTCTCACTCTACAGAACCTGTTTGTGTGTGGCTAGACTTATATAGTATCTGTACTCTGTCTGGGCCCCACCTGTCTAATGCCATCAAGTTTTGATTCTCAAAGCACACAATCCAGGTAAGCTGAACCCCTACAGGGCAGTGTTTTAATAAGGTTGTTACTGCTAGCATCCTATACATTACTCTTGTGTCTTGATGCTTAAATTCTCTTGCCAGAACAGAAGACAAAAGAAACTCTGAAAATGGAGGCCAGCCATGGAAACTGGAAGGACATAGTATCGAAGAACCAGGTACCTATACCTCAGGTATTTGTGCCTGAAAGGAACTCAGTAACTTTGCTCCATTCTGGCATCTACCTCCAAATGAGGTTAGTTTTTAAGTTCTATGAGAGCAGTGCTAAGGCTGGTTCTATTCTTCCATTTGACACATAGCCAAACACACTACATGGCACATAGCTGTCATTCAAATGTTTGTGAAGAGGGAGGAGGAGAGAGTTATAGAGGTAGATTCAAATTCTTTGGTTTTTGTTCTTTGTTTAACATAATAGCCAGGAAAGGTTGGGGATTCTCTGACGTAGCTGCTTAGAAGCTAACTCCAACTCACTAATAAGATCAAGTCCTAAGGATAGGGTGATCATTTAGGAAATCTTATTCTTTATGTAATTGGGTACTATGTACACATACAAAAGGAAGTTTCTAGGATTCCCACTTTGATCCAGTTCAACTTCTGGAAGGTGTCAGGGAAGCAAGTTAATATTGTGGGCTTGCTTTCTAATTGAGTCACAAGTTCAAATGTGCACATACCCATTTATTGAATGAATGTTTACTGAAGGCTTCTGGTGTGCCCAACATTGTAGTAAGTGCCAAAATTACAAAAATGGATAAGGTATGATTTCTTCCCACAACGATGAGTGAGACAGATGCTGTGGTGAGGGCTACACAGCACTGAATATACTAGAAACCAGCACCTGGTGCAATATAAATTGGTTACATGGTATGCAAATGATATTTCACTAACACTATTTTGAAATACAAACAAAACTAACCAATCAAATATAAGTCCTGGGTATTGTGCAACCAGGAAGAGGTGGCCATAACCCAGTTTAGGGATGTCTCGGGATGTCTCTTCCAACCAGTGAAGCTTGAACTGAATTATATTTTAAAAACAACACCGAATTACAGTAAAAAAAAAAAACAAAAAAAGAGCCAGGGAGTCGTTAGCTAGGTGGTTGGTAAGGGGATGTAATGAACTGTCATGAAAGTGATTGTGTGTGGGGGTGGGTGGGGGGCAAGGATTGGCTCGGGGTCGCAGCTTGATGCATAGATATTCGGAGATAACCGTTCTTGGAGTGTTTTATTTAAACTGGGAAGTGATAGAATCTGCGAACCCAAACCAAACCCTAGCCCTATGTGGGAGAATCATTTTCATTCAGGGTGTCCCCAGAGGACAAAGTAGTACGGCCCCAGATGGTGGCCAAAGTGGGAATCTTTCCTGGTAGCTGACCACCTCTCTAGCGGACTGTGGGCTAGAACCATCTCGCACCTTCCCGGGCGCATCTGAGCGCTAAATCACGGTGCCTTCAGAGTTCCTACTCAGGTTTGTTTGGGGTAGACCGTACTAACAGCCATGACGTAATGGAAAGAACATGGATTTTTTTTTTTTTAAAGATCAGAATAACTTGTGCGTAGGTCTCAGATCTGCCATTTTAAGCTAGATGTGTTATAAAAACATGCAGTACGATGATCTCATCGGTACTAATCACACTGGCTACGTGCAGAGGCGAAACGTGGCGCAGACTGGTCATGTTAACACACAACGAAGCTGACCCTGCACTGAGTTAAAAAGAACGTTTTTGAGTGGGTGGATCAATGATCTTGTGTGATGGAGGAAAACCTGGCGAGTCTCTTCCCTCCTTTAGCTTTAAAAGGCTCGAAAGGCAGCACGACGGCCTCCCTGTGATTCTACCGCGGGTTTGGTTGGGTTTTCAGATGGGTCCGCGGTGCTCTCGCCATCTATTAAAACGATCATTCTGAACACATGGTTAAAGAAAGCGAAAAGAGCAAAATAGTTACGGCATCGCCACAGGCCCGAATTTTCCCGGAACGGCTGATTTTCTTGAACTTGGTGAGCCAGCCTCCTGGAAGCACCCACCCCGGGTCCCGGGCAGCCGGCCGCACGCCCCGCCCCGCCCTCGGCGGGAGCCTTGTCTGGGTCTCCGCCCCTTCCTTTTGCCCTTCCTAAATCTTCCCCTTCCGCCAATTCCGAAACGGAACCTTTCTTCGGTTTTCCCGGTTGGAAACGTGGGACCGATTTTGCCAGCACAACCCGGAGTCGTGAGCATGGCGGCGGCCGCCCGGCACTTGGGCAGAGGTGAGGCTGGGGCTGTGCCGCTGGTGCGGGGGCGGCCAGGGCTCGGTGCCGCGGGGGTGCGCTGGACTCCCCTACGTCCACACTACCCAGCGCCTCCCGCTCTTTGGGGGCTCTGAGTTAGTCACAGGGTCGCCGTCACTGAACAGTGACCTCATCCGGGAGCACACACACCTTTCTGGAGCGGCCCCCATCGTGTGCAGTTCTGGAAGGATGGGAGGGAGGTGTTCGTTGACACGCTTCTAGCTGCCTTTTGGAAAGGGGATGGAGACAGGGTTCTGAATGCCCGGGGAGTGGGGTGAGGGAAGGAGTTTAGTGCTTGAAGCAGGGAGCTCCGGTAAGGGAAAGGGTGGCATGTTTTGATTGGCATACATTTGTAAACTTTTCAAAGTATGCCGATGCTTTTGGAGTTCATCCTTGCAGGCCACCCCAGTTCTTGAACTTGCAGACAGTGACGCATTTGGATCAACGGTTATCACTTGGAGGCCAACGCAGGAGGACTTTAGGACAGCAGTTCCTTCCAGCAGTTAAATGTGGTGGCTAGAATAACGGGCTAAAACCCTGGGCACAGGTGGTTTTCTTGTTTTGGTCTTTTCTGTTTTCTTTAAAGCACTGTGATACATTTTTCTGTCTAATGAAGGGACCTTTCTTGGGGGAGGCAGAAGTCAACTGATTCTGTATGGTCAAGTTCATATAAATAGTAAGCCCAGTCCCACGCTCGGACTCTTAGGCTAGACTCTTAGACTTTCTGTATTGCATTGCATTTTTCTCCTTGAGCTTTCTACAGGAAAGCACAGTGTCAAGCTGGACCGTATCCTCTATTTGGGATAGTTGTTCCTGAAAAGATAGTGATGCCCAGAGATCCTGACAAACCCTAAAGACTACAAAGTGAACAAAGTAACATGCATATCTTAAAAACAGTTTGTGTTATTATCTTTCTATGACAATAATAATATATTTGACAAACTAAAGAAACCAGAAAGAAAGGTTATCATGCTTTTCTTCCATATTTTATTCTAGTTTCCAGGACACATCCCTCTCCCTCTCAGTTTTCTTCTTTCCTCACCATTCCTGCTCAAGTTACTTTGCCGATTCCTCCTCTTTTCCCCTGGCTTCTATCTGGAGTGCCTCAGATGTCAGCATCCCATCCTTCATCCACTCCCCTCTGGATCTTTAAGCTCCCTCGTTTGGTTATTTCATCCAGGCCTTGTGGCGTTGACTATTGCCTGTATCCTGATGACTCTCAAAACCACATATGTGACCTCTCCTGAATTTGAGATTCTTATATCCATATGAAGGAGCCCCGGTGGCATAACAGTTACTCATTGGGTTGCTAACTGCTAGGTCAGCAATTCAAAACCACCAGCTGCTCTGTGGGAGAAAGACTCCACTTTCTAGTTCTGTAAAGAGTTACCGTCTCAGAAACCCACAGGAGCAGTTCTGTCCTGTAGGGTAACTATGAGTTGGAATTTATTTGATGCAGTGAGTAAATATATCCATCTTCTTATTGTAGATCTCCACTTGAATATCTAATTAGCACCTCCCACATGTCTGACATTGAGTTCATTATTGTTGCTTGTAGTCCGCTCCAGCTTGCTTGATGACAGCCCCATGCTATCATTTGCTTAGGTCAACACTTCAGAATCACCTTTGTCTTGACTTTCTCGTACTTCAAAATCAGTTGGCAAACTTTGTTGACTTCATCGCCAAGATAAACCAAAAATCTAACCTCTCATTTCCTTGTAATACCTTGTCTAAGCTAGTGCAATCTTGCACCTGAATTTCTTGGTAGCGTGCTATCAGCAAGTAGTGAAATTGGTCCTTTAGTAACTTAAATTGTTACACCTGTGCTGGAAACTCTCCCAAGGCTTCCCAGTTTTGTAAACCCAAGGTCTTCACCTTAGCCTGTGTCTCTGCTGTCCATTGTGGTAGCCATTATTGAGCACTGAAAGTGTGACAGATTCATGTTGTGTGTGGACAGGGCCTTAGATTATGAAGACCCAGCATGAAAAAAAGGTTTTAAAACAATCTGTTTTTTAAAATGTTGATTTAATATAAATGATCAGAAGTCCTTGGTTGCTAACTGAAAGGCTGGCAGTGTGCACCTGCCCAGTGCCTCATGGGAGAAAGACCTGGCAGTCTGCTTCAGTAAAGACAGCCCAGAGAAGCCTGTGTACAGTTCTCCTCTGTCACATGGGATCTTCTGAGTTGGAATAATCAACCGAATGGCACCTAACAATATAACAACCGCTGTAATCAAATTTATTATTTTTTATAATTAAAATGATATAAAACTGGTTTATTTTTATCCTTTTAAAATTATGATTATGACCCAGAGCCAAACTCAACTGCCATCGAGTTGATTCTGACTCATAGTGCCCCCCCCCAGGACTGAGTAGGACTACCCCTGTGGGTTTCTGAGGCTGTAACTGTTTATGGGAGTAGACAGCCGCATCTTTCTCCTGCAGAACAGTTGGGGGTGTTGAACCTCTGACTTTGTGGTTAGTAGCCCAACGCATAATCCATTATGCCACCAGAACTACCAAGGTTAATAGAATATTTAAAATTACGCATGTGGCTCAATAACACTTGAGGCTCACAGTTTATATCTCTTGGGAAGCATTGGCCTACAGCCATTTTCCCCTATATGGCTGATACCCCCTAAGGCAGCGGTTCTCAACCTGTGGGTCACAATCCTTTTGAGGGTCGAATGACCCTTTCATAGGGGTTGCCTAAGACCATCGGAAAACACGTATTTCCCATTGTCTTAGGAACCAAAACACCGCTCCCCTTTCCTTCTCCAGGCGGGTCTGCCCACATGCAGATACGCCCACAGACGAGTACCCAGCGTGAAGACTGTTACCCATGCTGCACCATGCTTCAAGACAAAATTTCATTTATTTGTAATTAGAAATAAATATTTCACAATATATAATTACATATTGTTTTTGTGATTAATCACTATGCTTTAATTATGTTCAATTTGTAACAATGAAAATACATCCTGCATATCAGATATTTGCATTACGATTCATAACAGTAGCAAAATTACAGTTATGAAATAGCAATGAAAATAATTTTATGGTTGGGGTCACCACAACATGAGGAACTGTATTGCAGGGTCACGGCATTAGGAAGGTCGAGAACCACGGTCCTGAGGGGTGGTGGAATGATCAAAGGGGCTGTCAAAATAGATATCCACACTTTTTCCTGGATTATGAGCTACGGTACACAAATTTTTAATTGGCAAGGAGGTGCTGAGTTTTTTTCCTTTCCCCGCAAAGGGGTGGTAGGCCTAGTTTGGGGATCTATGGCCTCCTGTGTTCTGCATCATCCGATACCTGTCTTCTCCCACCTCACCTACTTAACTCACTTCTCGGACTTCTCCTTCATTCTGCTCTTGCCAAACTGCCCTCTTTGCTCCTTAATCACGCAGAGAATACTTTCCTCTCTTGGGGCCTTTGCTTTCAGTGTTCCTTTGGCCGGGAATACTCTTTTTCTAAATATCTGTACCACAAACTTACTCATTTCCTTCAAGTTGTTGCTGAAACGTCACCTTTCAAGGAAGCCTACCGTAAGCACCTTATTTAGAATTACACCCCACTTTTCTCCTGACTCAATTCGTTTACTCAGCTGTCCTACCCTCCACCCCCAGATTATGTTTATTGGTGCCTTCTCCTCTGCTAGAATATAAGTTCCAAAGGACAAGGAACCCCACCAAACCTAGTGCTTTCGAGTAGATTCCAATTCATAGCCACCCTATAGGATCGAGTAGAACTCTTTCCCTAGGTTTCTCAGTTTGCAAATATTTGTGGGAGCAGATTGTCTCTGCTTTCTTCTGAGGAGCGGCTGGTAGGTTTGAACTGTAGACCTCGCTATTATTAGCCTATTGTGTGACCCACTGTGTTGCCAGGGCTCATTGGTGCATGATACCCCCCACCCCAAATAAATAAATAGATAAAAACAACCTCAGTGCCTTCGAATCCATGCCGACTCATCATTAGAACCCTATAGGACAGGGTAGACCTGCCTGTGTGTTTCCAAGATTGTAATTGTAGGAGTAGAGAGCCCCATTTTTTCCCTATGTAGCGGCTGGTGGTTTTGAATTGCTGACTTTGCAGTTAGCAGACCCATGCATAAACACTACACCACCAGGGCTCCTCTGGCACATGGTAGGCACCAAATAAACTGTCCTGGAATAAATAAATAATACACTAAAATAAAAAGCCTCCTCCCATGTGTTATAATTGATAATATTTAAACGATTTTAAATTGAGTTTTTGTTCTCATTCACTCAAAAGTTTTTTCATTTTGTTGTTAACTGGCATCGAGTTATGTTCTGACTCATAGCAACCCTTTGTACAGCAGAAGGAGACACTGCTCGCTCCTGTGTCAGCCTCACAGTTGTTTATGTTTGAGCCCATGGTTGCAGTTGCTGTGCCATCTTTTTTTGCTGCCCCTCCGTGTTACCTAGCATGACGTGCTTTTCCAGGGACTGCTCTCTCCCAACACCATGAGATGAAGTCTTGCCATCCTTGCTTCTGGCCATACATCTGTCAGGACAGCTGTTTGTTCTCCTTTCGGTCCATGGTACTCGGTACTCTCTGCCAGAAGCACAACTCAAATGCATTGATTATTCTTCATTGTCCAACTTCCACATGTGCAATTCCATGGATTGGGTTAGGCATACCTTAGTCCTTGAAGTAACATTTTTGCGTTTCAATATGTTAAAGAGGTCTTATGCAACAGATTTTCCTAATGCAATGTGTTGTTTAATCTTGACTGCTGGTTCCGTGTATTGACTATGGATCTAAGCAAGATCACATCCTCTTTTTAATGATGTTACCTATGATCCAGTTGTGAAGATTTTGTTTTTCTTGACACTGAGTTGTAAGGGCCCCTGGTGGCATAGTAGGTTAAGTGTTAGGCTGCTAACCACGTTCAGATTTATCAGTTGCTCTGCAGGAGGAAGACGAAGCTTCCCACTCCCATGAAGAGTGGTC